AAAAAAAAATAGTATTATAGTCAATGCTCACATTATAATAAACACCGACGATATCTCGGCACCAAAAACGTTTTCTACAATTGCTGACGGTGTGTTATGTTTAATGTGATTACACAACTCTGTACATAAGCAGGATTTCCTTATCAAAACAAGAAAACTTGTTTTTAATCTCAGAGTACATCGTTATATTTTCCAAAACAACTCATTCAAAATGCTTTGCAAAAACAAACATATTTTGATATATTTCCCTACAATGGTTTCGCGCTTGCATATGTACATACATATGTATGTTATGCATGTGCATGCATCCTACATATAAGTATATACATACATATATTCATACATATTTATGTATCAGTGTTCTGTTTTTAATCTTAGCATTGAGGGTCATATCGTCGAAACATGCAGCAATGAGCAACTGCAGACAAACAAACGGAGCCTACTACCTGCTATTGTTTTAGCAATTGATTACTGCACTTGCCAATGTTAAGTGATAAACAATGTAAACAAAACTTCGATACCTTACGGTTACTTACATACATACATATGTACATATGAAAGTAGATACGTATGCACATACATCCTTCTTTGCATAGCACAGTTGGCAATAAAAGGATGCGTCTCGTCCAAAAAATGTCAGTTCGCTTTTAGAGACGCTTCGATGCTAAGAAATATAACAAAAAAAATTGGAGAATGTCGGTTGTAAATGTTTCGCTTGCTAAGCATTTGGACTTGCTCGCCCTTTTATTAACCTCAATGCTGTTAAAATTTTACATACAGATGTCTATAGCCATAAATCGGTTAAGATTTCTTCGAGCAATCACTTTCATAGCTGGAGCGTTGGCAGTTGACAATGAAATTAAACTCATTAAGCGTGAATTCAGTGAGTTAAATTATTCACCAATACAAGTGGTGCTACCACCTCCTCTTGCTGACGTTGCTGAAACGCCTAAAAGCAGAAATTCTTTGGCTAGACGTCGATTGAATTTACGTAAATTAAATCGGTTTCAATATTGTCGACACTTAAGGGAAGTGCGAAGGACGCTTGAATTGTAAATACATAGAATAGAACTTGTTAAATAAGAAAAATGTCAATATTAGTATATAAGTAAGTAGTCATGTACCGTTAAAATAGAGAAAATATATTATGTATGTATGTATGTATGTATATGTATATGTACATAAGTATGTGTAAATAAAAAAATTGGAAAATTAAAATATTCTGTCTAAATTTTGAGAGATAAGAAATGTATTTGATTTGCAGTACACTTTTGCCACTCGCTAGCGCAAAATTTTTTAATGGCTTAAGTCGAAAATTTCCTCTGCTATTTTTTATTTTACTTAAATATCTCTTGACGCGCATACAAATTTCGCTGTTCATTTCATTAGAAATTGGACCTTAATGCCAAATGTGCGCAACCACGGTTAGATGCTAGTTTTAAAAAATAAAAGATTGAATAGCTCAATATACATATAACAACAATACAAAAGGTTCAGACACTAAGTATGTATAGATGATTTTAAGGAAATTGTGGATATAAATATGTATGCAACTCATCTCGCATTACTATAGCGTTGTACTTTATTTTTAATCAATGTGAGTTATAAAGGATTTATTAATTGCGCAGTCCTTTTGCAAATGTGTTAATACAAATAGTTATGTTTTAAAATTATATGTACATAGTTAAATTGTTTGTTATATGTTACTGGTGTTATTTATTATTACCCTGAAGATATTATATTCATTTGTGATTTTGAAAACTATTCTATGACAAGATGTCATTGTTAAAAGAAAAAAAATTTGTTAAGTCGATGTCATGAATTTTATATATTTACCAAAAAAGTTGTAGATTTTTTTTAAATTGCGCTTTTTTATTTAAACAATCTGGACACCCTAAATATAACTGTATTCGTAATCGGAATGCAATCGTCAAAGTTGATTTAGGAAAACCGACAGAAACTTGCAATTTTCTCTGCCTAAGAGTGAGTTTGAGGGAATTTTTTCTTACTCTCTGATATTTTAAGTGATGCTTGTTAGATTTCCGACGAACCAACCTATTTTTGGTAATCCGAAAACAGCGAATTTTCGAATGTCAATAAAATTAATTAATTAATAAAATAGAAACGTTTTATGATATGATGAATAATGAAAAGTGGAAAAGTATATAAAATTACAAAATAAAAATACTGCTTATAAAAGTACTTAAAATACAAATACAAAATACCCTAGTAAAAAAAAGAAATTTAGGTACAAAATACAAATACGAATTTTGTATTTTAAATATTTGTATTCCATTCTATTTATACTCTACTCATTTGAGAATAGTTTTCTTCTTCAATGCTGTTCACTAATGCACCAAATATTGGCCTAACCCTACATCTCCTTCTTCTACCAAATATGTATGTCTTACCATCTGTAAAATTTCTGTTTTGCCTTTGTCCCGTTTTCTCATGTGGGTGACTTTGTGTCTTAACATATCACTTTCAAACTGGCATCAAGCCAATCAGATCGGTCTGTACCCAAACTGAGTTGTCCAACTACGAAATGACAGCTGATGTTAAGACAGCGATGGTAAGCAATTCGGCAAAACAGATATGGCTAACAGTGGAAATTTGCGGTCTCCACCTGACATTTCTGTCTTACCACAGCTTTTTTAACAGCATCTGTATAAGGTGGAGACGTGGGGTAACGATTGTCGCGAAGATACATACATAAAATAGTAGCGGTTAGGTTATGTTGAACCATAAATGGTCTAACATAGACAAAGACCACGTCCATAGTGTTGCCAGATCCGAAGGACCTTTGAATCCGTGCATTCACGCAATGTTGAAGAACACTGCCGTTACTTTAAAATACGTATATGGCAGGGAATCCAACTCGTGGCGAGTTCCCCGATTTGCGGGAAATTTCAGTTTGTCGTGGGGAATCGGGAAATTGACCTTTTTTGTCGGGAATTTAAAACGCTGTGCCATAAACATTTATGTACCTATTCTTTTAGTTTTTTTTATTACTTTTGGACTGAATTTTATATATTATATATGAATGAATATGTTTTTTAGAAAACCAATTGAACAAACTTTCGTAAAAATTTCGAGCTTGAGCTTTTTAATTCGATTTTTAGAAAGATTTTGAGTATGCAGTTTTGTAGCTCGTTCAATTCTAATATAAAAAAGTTTCAAATGGCTAACGGTAGTTGATTTTTTAGAATTTTCTTTGTCGCATTTGGTTTCATATAAACACAATTTACTTTTATGTGAAAGAAAATCGCAACACCTTCGGCAAACAAATCTAAAACCGAAATTTTTAGCCACTTGTAATTTGCACTTTATATACTAGAATTAAGTGGGCTACAAAACTGCATACTAAAAATCTTTCTAGAAGATCTAATTAAAAAGTTTGAAGCACGGATTTATACGGTTTTTGTTAAAGAATAAACTATATTTTTATAAAAATTAAATACCCGAAAAATAAATAAATAATAATAGTTGTAAATAAAACCTTGTCGAAATTTGGTGCCACTAAAATTTTTTCGACCACCATATGTATGTTAATATTATATATACATTTTTTATTCTTTATTTGTTAACTAATTTTATAAAAGTTGGGGTTGGTTTATGAATATATAGATGAATTTCGTTTAAAAATAAAATAAACAAAAAAAAAAGATACACTTTTTTTTTGTAAATAAGGACACTTCTATGTTTGGGGAATTTTACGAATTTTCGGGCAAAATCTGGGAATTTCATTATTGAAATCGGGGAATTGCCAAATATGAGTTGGCTACCCTAGTATGTGGGTATGTATGAAAGGGAAGGCTGTAGGCAGCCCAGGTATCCTTTTACATGCATTGAATTAAACCGAGGCTCTCTCCGCCCTCTCCTCTATGTTCAGACGCCACGACAATTTGTTATCTTATTTTATTTCGAGGTACTCGGTGCTCTGTTTCAGTTGGAGGCTCGTTCCTCTCAGCTAAGGCCAAAACTAACCCCAAATCCTATATTTCCTCGTTTCATTGTATTAACCATAGTGCCTTTTAAAACAAAATATTTCATTGTATACCTTTGTTCTTATCCCATTATAGGCCGTCTACATGTCCACAACAGTACCGCAGAATATAAAAGGTAGTAAAATCGCCGGACGCCACACTCCAACAAGAAATAGTTTAAGGCACAGTCGCATGCTAGTTGTAAATAACAAATCATATCCAGGTAAGTGGCAAGGTGTTTGATCGTTTGCATACTATAAATGTAGTGCAATAACCAACTTAAAAAAAAGGAAACTGGATTCGACACTGAATTTTTAACAACAAAAAATTTTAATATTATTTTTGTTAAACGTTTATACTTGTAGTAATAGATTTGCATGTATTTCCAATGGTGATTAAACTTGCGTGATCTTAATACACTTACTGCCATAATTGCTTATCAAATACGTATATTCTTAATAACCTATTGCTTGATCTCATTAATCCTTTTATTACTACTCAGATGACTCTGTACTTTTACATACTAACTCAAAGTTAATTGGCTTTATTCAGACCGAATGAGCTACACGAGCATGGGCGTAGCCAGGTAAGGGCAGGGGGTGCTCGAGCCTCCCCTAACTTTCAAATTTTCCTTATATATATATATAAAATAGCGCCCTGAAATACCAGCTTAATAGGGTCGAGCCCCCCTAAATTTCATTCTGGCTACGCCGATGTACACGAGGGTGGGTCGCCTTTATATGACTTCGTTAGAAGAAAGCTCTACAGTAAAATAACGCAATAATAAAATAGAATAAATAAGAGTGAACTTGCTTAATTCATATAAAACAAAATTAATTACTAATCAAATACATATTACTTATAATTAAGTTCATGCTACAACAATTTATACGTACAAAACTACATAAGCTCATTGACTTTTTACTTGTAATTGCACCGCTGCATTGTAGCCAATTTATTTCCGTAGTACTATGTTAATAACTGGCAAAGGCAATCATCATCAATAAACAACAACAAACGCAATCTTGTTTTTGTAATCTAATGTAATATATGTAAGTATGTATATACTAATGTAAGTAATAAACTAGTAGTGTAACTAAAACGATTTGATCATAGTCGGTCTGTTAGGCCCCCACTCAAGTGAGCGCGGTTAGTAGACAATCAACTTTTAGCGAACAAACAACACTTCTTTCAAACAAAATTAAAACAAGTTCATACATACATATTTCTAAAATGGTTCGTTCTTTGTACACAACAGCTTCTCAGCATCCAAATCCATTGAATTTTAAATATCCGAATCTTGCCCGCTGGTTGCTCATACTGGAAATATTAGTTGGTCTACTAATATCATTCTTAGCAATATGGATATTCTGCTTGGCACCCAATACGGCCATACAATATAATCCCTACTGGAGCGGCTTGGTGGTAAGTGAACAATTTTAATATTTATACGGTTATTTCGAAGGCTTCGGAAAATAGCCATTGTTCAACATACTAGATAACTAGACAAGACCTTTTTCTTTTAAATGGAGTACGCTATAGATCGATTAGATATTTATTTATTTATTTACTTTCCCTGTTGGCGGCCTTTGGGTAAGTTTTCATAAAGTTTGGACTTTGCATTTCTCATTGGTGTGGTTTTAGGTGGCCGCGCGGTCTAATTTCAGGTTTTGATCGTGGATCTTTCGCGATCCCTCAAAAAAGCGTATCACTAGCTAAAAGTTTTTTGTTATTTTTTACTAATTATAATTAAAATTACAATTAACACTTAGCACCAGCTAAAATGTTATCGGCATATCTAAAAGTAAAATTAATAGCAAGCATTAAAAAGTGATCGAAATGGGTTACGATTTAAATAAATAGTGGGCAGATTTTTTTTTACACATTTACGCTTTTTTCTCAGTGCGCGCTGTTGCAAGAAACCTACAACATTCACTTGGTGGGAGGTAAACCAAGTAGAGAAAAGGGGGTATCTTATAAGGCACACAAAGCAATCAGTAAGACTCTCGTTTAGCACTTTGGCCCCAAAATCGGATGCTATGTATGCAAGAATTTAAATTTAGATTTGCAAGACTGTTCTGACCTTTTCCCCACACAATTGTTAATCAAAAATTATTTTATTTTTTTCTTGTCCTTCTCCACAGCTCCTGCTTGCTGGCATTCTTGGACTTGTGCTTGTACGCTATCAGCGTATAAAACGCCACAAAGTGCGCGAGAATTGTTTTAAATTTTTACGCACCGATTCATATTTGCTAGCGCTCTTGGCCGTCTTGCTTTGCTGTGTGGCATTCTTTTGTGCTGCCCTACATTACGCGCGCCTTTGTGCCAGCGATACACACTGCGCGCCCACAAACATTCTGTTGGAGCAAGGATCCTGCACGTGCACCTTTAACGTGAATGAGGAAGTAACGCTGCCAACGCCAGCCAATGACAGTGCGTCACAGGTGGCGAATGGCTTGCTGGACGAAGAAGTGATGCCGGAAAATTTCAGTGACCAAAGCTATAAAGTGGAATATCGGTAAGTGATTTGAAATAATTCAATATCGGGTAAATACATTTTATTAATATATGTGACCGTTCTATAGGGACCTAAGCTGCAAGGAAGTGAGCGGCGAATGGATAACAATTCTCATTATGTCTACTGCGCTCAATGCAATCGGTTTTTTGCTTGCGCTCGCCTATGCTGTGCTGCTCGTTTGCTGGCGCCACACCGCCAAACGTCCATTCTATACATCCGTCCAGACCACCAGTACCTTTTAGCTAAACAAATGCCGCGTTCAAATACAAGTATACAAAAATATATATACACACCCACACACGCACATACATACCTGTAGTATTTTTAATCATAGACATTTATCAAACATGCTTGCAATGCATACATATTTATATGTACATAAATATGCAACTTTTAGTTATCTGATTTCTTTGTTTATAGAAGCGAAATAATTATGTATAAATACATACATACATATGCATGTATGTATGTACATAGGACGGTGGCGATTTGTACTTAAATCACTTTTGATCAAAAAGTTTTTAACATTTTAACTTTCACTTTGTAAGAGTAACACAATTGTTTATATTATTTTTAAAAATCACTTATTTATTAAAAATACGATGTATTAATTAAAAATTTGTAATAATACACTTATGTATGTATGTTCATGAAAAATAATAACTTTGACATACAACATTTTATGTAGTACATATTTTCAAAATTGATTACCCACTAAACCTACAATGACTTTAATATAAAATATCTGAAATTTTTGCTTACCTAACATACAACCCCTACATACGAGTCTAATGAAAATGTATTAAAACAATTGTAAAATCTTCAAAAAATGTTTACATATGTATGCATAATATTCATGTAGTACTATTTAACAATGCAGTATATGGCAAGTACAATATGATACCAACCATTTTGATATTAAAAACTAAAATTAATAGAATGAAATGCAAATTTAAATGCTCAATAAATTGATCATGATGCCCAGATACTAAATGATGGTGTTAATATTTCGTTTGTGAATATTTCTCTAACGAAATGTATGCATGTATGTATATGTGTTTAATCTATACTTATGCAAAAAAAAAAAAAACAGATCCTTCACTTCATTATGATTTCTGCCGGTGGCAATATGCTATCGCCATATAAACTATACCAAATGCTAGAGAACCATATTGTACGATCGACCCACTCACTGCCAGCCAGCACATGTCCTATGAAGGGTGAATCGCGTGATCTGAAAGCAAAAAACAAATATTATTAGTTATGATGATGAGGAATAATTTTTGTTATTAATTGCATGGATATAAGTACACATGTGGATGTGGATGTGTGGTGGAAGAAATAAAAGAAAGTTTTTATTTTGACAAGTTTAGGCTACACATCTATTGGTTATTCGATGTTTAATATTTTTTTATAAAAGTCTAGCGCATTTCATGTTAAGTACCATATAAACACACATTTCAAACTTTTTACATAAGTTATAAAAATTCAACAAATTTTACCAAAATCCCCCAAGAATTGGAAGCTTTTTATTCAGAATTTAAAAAAAAATTAGATATACAGTTTTATAGGCCGTTTAATTTTAGTGGGTCAAAGTGCAAATTTCAAGACGCTAGAAAATCGCGTTGATTTTTAATAATTTTTTTAGCTGACGGTGTTGTGCATTTTCTTCCATGTAAAGCAGTGATTCCCAAAGTAGTCTAGGTGGACCCCCAGGGGAGACTCGATGGGGGTCCACGTTGGCGTGAAAAAAATATGGGGTTTCACGAGTTGTAAATGGGGGTCCACGAAAATGTATCTGGTTTCTATAGTAAAGAACAAAACTGGTTGCTTGGCTTTATCTATAAATGTAGGCAGATATTACATTACTACAAAAAATTAAGGTAGCAAAAAATACCAAATTTTTCGGTGATTTTCGACAGGCCGCATTTCGGTACAAAATGGTCGTACTGAGACTTTAAAAAAGGCTTCGAGTCCCTAAGATTCTAATTTTTCTTGGCTAAAATTTTTTAGGAGCTGCGGTACTCATGTAATCCTGACAGATAGCGTAAAAAAAATAATGGAACTCAGCCGCGACCCGAATTTCTATCGTTAGATCTTACCTTCACATTTTTGACGAGCTTTGGATATATGTTAGAAATGTACCAGTAACATTTTTAAAGGGGTCTACGAGAACAAAAGCTTGGGAACCTCTTGTACTTTAAGGTAACGAACGAAAATCGTCCTGCCGTAATAAATAGGCCTGCCAAAATGCAGTTATGAAAAAGGCGAGATGTTGCAGGTACTGTTTATCGTACCGTACAGTCACGGATACTGGTGGAGTAGTTGCCTTAAGCCATATACAGTGGCGGATTTAAGGGGGCTTTTGGGGGTTGAACCCCCCTCTTCCCCCGATGATTAAATGATTAATTATTTAATGTTAAAATATATACATAAATTAATTTATGTTAATGTTATGATGTTCTTTCAATTATGTGGATAACGGACGAACATTTTAAGTTTCCACCATCTGGAGATCGCAATTTGAAATTTCAATTATCGTGGCTACGTGCTTATGCGTGGTTGGTGTACTCGCCTAAAGAAGATGGGTGTTACTGCAAATATTGCATTTTATTTGCGTCCAATACTATCTGTAAAGGACGCCACGAAAATGCAAAATTGTTTGTGCAAAATCCATTTAAAAATTGGAAAAAGGGCTAGAAAGGTTTAAGATACATCACGGCAAAACATTAAATCTGAACGATATGCAGGATGGACACAATTTTTCAGTTTTACATTTGTTTTAGATATGTATGTACACAGCGCTTCCAATGGTTATGAAATTCGTGAAGACTTTCTTCCCTAGTGGACTGTTACTATTCAAAATATAAAGTGCTCCTTCCATAATTTAGATATGTTCTGAATATCGGTCACTACATATGTAGCTGTGGTTGTTCCTGCCGGAATTCGTACAGGTCTAGAATTTTTCCGCAAATCGCCTACCTTTAGGACAGCATTGATAACGGGCTAGACTTTAAACTTTTTTAAATACCTAGACCATTTCAAAAACGTTAATAACCAGTCATATGTAGCCTAAGTTTCCCAATTAAGACCCAAATTATTTTCCTGCTAACCTTCTAACAAAGTAGTTATATATTAAAACAGTATCCACAACTTACCTCAGTATCTGCGTTTGTGTACGCTCCACGAACGTAATTGCCCAACTCCATGGAAAGTCGCGCTTCTTCTCACAACCCAAGTACGCCGTAGTGCTATGCAGGAAGATCTCTCGTACGATGGTGGTTTTTTCGTTTTTGTCTTTCTTCGATATCACAATTTTACCGTCACGCAACTCGCATAGAAATGATTTGAAGGATTTTGTGCGATAATCAGCAAATTTCAACTCCTTTCCCGGGGTCACCGTTGCCAGATTCTTAACGGCACGTTGAACTTCACGCAAAGTATCAATAGGTTTCACAACTAGGTAATTATTTTTACGATCATCTTCGGGCCAATACGACCAGTTGAGGACAACATCGAATACTTTTGTGTCATGGTGAAGTGGACGCTCCAGGCTGTCGTTTAGTATGACTTCGTGCAGGGATACTTGATGGGTTGAAAATTGCATTTTAGACGCCAGCTCGCGACAGATATCGTAGGCGGTGCGGGTGGGTGTGATTGTAACGTTCACCTGAACTTTTTCCTATTGGGAGAAATATTTATAAGAGTTTGTTCATTTTATTCGCTTTCAAATTTAAAATACTTACTTCCTTGGTGTTCTCTGGTCTGGGGTTAAGTACTACCCACATCTTTAGGTCCCCAGACTTTTTCACTGAATCTGTCAGCGTTTCAGCCGCCGCGTAATACTTTTGTAAGCACATCAACATCTCTTGTTCCTTTGTCTAAAATTTTATGTTTTTTAAATTGGTTTTTCTTGTAGAGATAAAAAAAAGAGTGCTTACTACTTCCTCTGGCGATAGTGGGAATAAATGTTTGTAAAGCGTTATCAAATCGGCTAGAACATCAGCTTCCTTCTGCGAGTAAACCATTTCTTCCTGCTGCTGTTAAAGGTTGGCAGCGAAAAAGTAAAATTTATTAGATACATATGTATGTATTGTATGTATGGGTGCTAGATTAACAGATCCCTTCAAGTACTCACGTGATTCTGCAGCAGCGTTGGACCCCAGATCATTGTCAAATTTTTCGTACTCATCTTATTCTTCGCCTTCTGCGAGCTAATAAATGCTAAATGTCCTACAATTTTCTTGAGAGTCTCCCGTTCTATCACGCTCAAACGTGCAAGTAATTCTTTATATACTTCTATCTTCTCCGCAGGTTTAGTAAGCTCAGTCACACACATGAAACTCTCGGAAAGTTTGCCCATTAGGCGCTCGGGAAGATCGCGCATGAAACGCTTCAAAACGTTAGCCACATCGTGCTCATTATATTCGTTACGTGTAATCTCCACATTGAAGGCATCCGCTCGGAAGGCTGACAAAAGTTTAAGAATAGAATTTTCAGAGCCTGATTTGCGATAGATGCCTTCCGACATGGAGCCGTGTATGTACACAAAATTGATGCACTTATCCACAATGACGGGCACATTGAACTTGGTCAACTGCTGATCGATCAGAGAGAAGCCATTGTTGTGTGCCACTTCACGTATAATATGCCGCCAAATTTTAGTTTCGCGCGGTGAGGACATAATCATGTACACCGTAAAGGGCGGACAATCGATCATGAGTGTGGGACCAGACTCTACATGCAGATTACGAATTGTTTCGTCGCTGTCTTTGAGCACTGTAAGAGAGAGAGATCCATTAAACATACGCGAACGCTTCAATTGCGGCCAACTTACCTATGCAACGAGCTTTGCGCAGATCCATCTTCTCGACATTTCCAGCAGCTTCACTCACAAATATTAAACGTCTTTGATTCTTCTTCAACACCAGCCAGGTGCCGCTCCATTCGGAAGTGATTGAGTTTTTCAAATAACACCAGCCTGCGCGATAGTAATGGCAGGCATATTTCGGTGGTATAGTATTGGTCAGACTCTCTAAAAGCTTTTGCATCCAAACACCTCTGAGGAATGGTAAACGTTTTTTAACCGAAAAATAAAGAAAACTCTTACAGCACTCACCTTTCCGATTCCTTGCTCACACCGTATAGGTGTGCTACGCGCTGATGTTTACAGTTGCCCGATGACGTACTCGTCATAACGAGGTTCGGATTCGACATTGCCTGCACGTTGCTCGAGTTCGGTTGGTTTTTCGGCACTGACATGGTTATTTCAAAGCAATAAAAATGTGTTGAATTATCTGTTACGCGACTATTGCTCACACATTGCAGCGTTGTAATGTACTCCAGTGGAATGCTCTCTTTGGGCGTCTTCATCTCCTGGTCGAGGAATGTCTGAAATTGGCGATCGCGTAAAATAGCTTTACGATTTTGCATCTCCTTGAGTATGTCTTCCACAACACCTGAAGGAAAGCGTATCAGCGGTCCTTCGTAGCGTACGAGCAATGGTGAAAGCGTAGGGCGTGGCACCATTTGTAGCGTTACCTTCAAATCGGATTTTGCGGCTACCTTGAAGCTACCCTTACGCGTGATTGCACCCACACGCTGTTTTACGTTCGTCGAAAATACGTTCATAGTATTCATAAAACGCGATGCACGCGATTTTTGTTCATTAGCCGTGAGCGAAGGTCGATCCTCGACGCCAATGGCCTCCAAGTAGGATGGTGGTCCATCACCTTCGATGTTCAGCTTGTTAAAGGGATTTCGACGTTGCTGCTCTTTGTTTTCTTTATTGTCCTGCACAAACCATTGAGTGCGATTTTCAGAAGCGCGTGCCAAGTCAATATTTCTGCCACTGGCTGGCTGCTCTTCGAGTCGACTCAAGTAGGGCCGGACGCGCGCCTCATTATCATCCAGCATATTCTCTGTACTCTCTGAAAGTAAGTGGGCATTTTGATGCACTATTCGTAGTTGACTACCAGCTTCGTTAGTGTTATTGGTGGGCTTAGCATTCGTTGGTGTAGGCAAAACCACAGTTGCTGGCGTGGGATCTTGGGAGACTACAGCCGTGGTGATGACCGCAGTGGCAGTTTGATTGTCTTCTTCCGACGTGCACATGCTAATATCGTCATCAGATTTCACTTGATCTCCCGAAACAGTGCCATATATGTCCTCTTCCAGCAGATGTTCCAGTAACAAAAGCTGATTACTCTTATCCGAATTGCATATCGTTGCGGCTTTGCGACTCAAAAGCGGATCAAATTCTTTAATAACTTCCACTGGCGGCTTTACGCAGCCACCTACAGCGCCTTCCACTAACTCAACCGGTCTTGGCTGAACTTGGGAGGAATTAGGTTTACTGCTCGAGGCCATTTCGAAAACTCGACCATATGTGGCCTCATCATTAGCATACACAGGCTCAGGCGTTGAACACACGCTCTCTTCCACGCTATCCGCAAAATACTCCCACGACTCACTGCGATCCGGCTTCGGCATTTGGTTTTCCGCTGCCAGTATCTGCTTACGCAACAGCATAGATTCTTCGCGTTCAGATGCCGCAACTTCCATATTGAGTTGATGTAGCTCAGCAGAGTCGACATTTGGCCGCAGTGAAGCTCCGCCCACGGGCGATGGATTCTCCACTACGCGCCGCAATTGAATCTCTTCATAATTCTTGCGTCGCTTCAATCGCTGTGGTGGCTGTATGGGCTTGAGTTTGCCGTACAGCCCATCCGTAATGTCGGTTACAACTTCCTTGGGTAGTGCGGGTGGTGGAAAAGTTGGCATTGGTGGCGAGGGAAAATCTAATGAATCACGCGAATTCGCAACTGAACTACTGCCCGTGGCGCTCTCTTCTTCTGCAACATTTTGCAGACTGGCATTGCTACGTTGCTTCTTCAGCGCTACATTAGCTGCCTCGGCGGCAATATGTTTAGGCACCATGAGCGACTTACTTACAGGCGCGTTACGCTCGAATGCCGGTTGTGGCGCAGTTTTCAAGGCGTCTTCGTAAGAGGGCGGCGAAGGTAAATCGAGATCACTACGCGTTAATTTCAAGCTACGCGGCAAATCATATGAACAATCGGCAGTGCTGGCGGAAAGATCCTCGACGGCGTCCGCTTTGCGGTTTAGCGGGCTGGTGAATGAGATCGAACCGAAGACTTGATCGTTAGGTGGCAGTGTTTGTGGGCGGCCGGTGTGAAATTGTGCTGTGGCGATTTCCTTAGGTTTTTCCTTGTCTTTTTTGGTCAGCGTAAAATTTGTATTGAAGTTTTTTCCAACGCTACGTAAACGATTCGCGGTTTCGCTGCTGATATTGCTGAAATTCTTGTCAAATTTATTTTTGACGCCCTTGGCTTTGAGTGCAACACGCTCGCCGATGGATTCTGTGAGAAGTTTGGACGTGGAACCAATTGACTTCAGGAGCTCGCTGCAAAAAATAGGTAACGAAGAAGATCTATGAAATTGAAGTAAATCCAAAATTGAATGTCAGTGCGCCCATTACCCTTGCTTATCACCAATAGTATATGCATTTCCGCCGCAACAACTACCACATTTTTTTAGTGCAATATAAAATTTAATATTGATAAATTAGTATTTCTT